CTGTAACAGACTCCAATATTTCTTCCCCTTAGCCACCCCACCTTAGTCAACACTCAGTGTTTCACATCCAGTTCTGTTTCCAGTGTTTTTCCTACACACTGCTACAAAATAAATCTTTCTAAAACACTATCAAATCAAATCTGCACCTCAGATTATATGTGAATGTATCTATTTTTAAAAAACACATGACTCAGGCCAGCCAAGTGGCTCAGTTGGTTAAGAGCATAAGCTCTGAGAAGCAGGGTCCCTGGTTCAATTCCCACATGGGCCAGTGAGCTGTGCCCAAGCTGAGCTGCCACTGAGCTGCCAACAGGTGGCAGGATGGCTCAGCTGGTGAGAGCATGTACTCCTAACAACAAGGTTGCTGGTTCACTCCCGCATGGGATAGTGGGCTCCCCCCACTTGCAACTAAGATTGAACACAGCACCTTGGGCTGAACAGCTGGGAGCTGCCAATGGGTGGCTTGATGTCAACTGGACTTGGAGTTGAGCTGGCTGCACCCTCCACAACTGAGACTGAAGGACAACAACTTGGCTGTTCCCCTTCCCCAATTCCCCAATGAAATATTGAAAAAACAAACAAACAAACAAAAACCCCACATGACTCACCGGTTTAAAATCCCAGTATATGTGTAGTCTATTTTTGGCTGCCTTGGAACATGGCTCTAAAGTGGGCTTCTCCCCAAAGCCAGGGTCTGTCAGGCAGCTGTCATCAACATCTTTCTCTGAAATCAGACTTCCCACATAGAATTCCCCAGTTAGGTGGTAATAGACATTCTAAAAGAAAGCAAAGGGGTCTGTAATGGACACAGTCTGTGGAGAGGCCCTAAACTGCATAGAGGGCATAAAGGCTGCTCTTGGGTGCCCTAGACACTCAGTCACCACAGGGAGAATTTAACTTTCCTGAGTAACAAGAAATATCCTCTTCTTCTTTCTCACCACCCCACCCCCAGTTGATTCTAGGAAGAAGACCAGGCATGAGGAGGGAGCACTAGCCTGCTTTCCTCCATACAGGGAGCCCAATGGAATCATGGCTTGCATGGATGAGGGAGCTTATCTTTGAAACA